CCAAGAGTAAGCGCGTTACTTACGCATATGGCTGGTATATAAATAAGTGCGTTTCTTACCATTATAGATGGTACCAAGAGTAAGTGCGTTACTTATCCATACAGTTGGAACCGAGAGTCAATGCGATACTTACCCATATGGCTGGTACCAAGAGTAAGTGCGTTGCTCACCCTTATAATTGGTATCAAGAGTAACTGTTTTTCTTACTCATCTAGTGGTACCAGCCAAAAGTAAGTGTGTTACTTACCCATATAAGAGTAAGTAAACTACTTACAAATGTGGCTGGTACCAGGACTAAGTGCCTTAGTTACCCATATGGTTGGTTCCGACAGTAAGCGCATTGCTTACCCAAATGGTTAGTTCCAAGAGAAAGTGCATTATTTACCTATATGGTTGGTACCAAGAGTAAGTACGTTACTTATCTATATGGCTAATACGAATATTAAATGCGTCACTTACCAATATGGTTTGTACAAAGGAAAAGTAAGTTACTTTCCCATATGGCTGGTATTAAATGTGAGTAAGTTACTAACCCAGATAGCCCCGTCCTCGCTTGGGCGGAGCCGACTTCATGGTCGGGTGTAGGGGTGCAGCCGACCTGCAGCAGTGGGCGAGCTGGTCGACGAGGTTGGTCGATCTGCACGAGAGCCACTGCAAGGGCGCCGACGTTGGGAGGGCGCCAGCTTCGGGTGGTCGACCTGAGAATTTGACCTGCGGAGGGCGTCGACTTGGTGACGCCAACTTGGGCGGCCGACTTGGGTGGTTGGCTGACAGAACTGTTGGTCGACTTGGTTGGTCGACTAGGTCTGCTGGTCGACCTGGCCTGCTGGTCGACTTGGTAGTTGGGTCGACCAGGCGTGATGTCGACCTGGTGGTCGACCGAGCGTGGTGGTCGACGAAGGAGGGGCCGACGTCGACCTCGACAGAGGGATTCAGGACGCCGAGCAGCTGGGGCGTAGAGTAGCAGGGCGTCAACTTGGTGACGCCGACTTCGGGTAGCCGACTTTGGGGTCGGCTGACAACTGTGCTGGTCGACGAGGAGCTGGTCGACCAGGAGTGACGTCGACCTGGAGCTGGTCGACGAAGGGGTAGTGGTCGACCTGGTGAGGTCGACTGGAGGTGGCCGTCGACTTGGGAGGTCGACGGACACACCCAGGAGCAGCTGGTCGACATGGTTGCCCGGTCGACCAGGTTACCTGGGTGACGAGGTTCTGCGGAAGAGTGCGACGGTCGCCCAGGTGGTTTTGGCGAGGACGACCTTGGTGGTGGTATCCCGAGGTCGACGTGGCTGATCAGAAGCAGTCGTCAGCACGAAGTTGACTTGGTGTGTGCGCTGTGCAGGTGACGGGGCACTATATGCCAATCATCTGCATGCACCTGTGAAGCGGGTGCGCTGCTGTCCTGTGGGAGCAACGTTGGCACGCCGTCAACCTGCGACGTTGGCACGCCGTCGACTTGCAGCATTGGCAAGCCGCGACTCTGCACTGCTGGAGCGCGGTCGACCAAGTCGTGCTGGCACGCGGTCGACCGTGCTGCGCTGGCAGTAGACTTGCTTGCATGCTAGCTCTGATGTAGTCTAGTCGTGCCAACTTCATTTTACCATTAAACTGAACTTTTGCTAGTGAAACTCTTGCCAACTTTCCCTGTGAACCAGCAAGTAGTGCAAGCACGAGTAAACGACTAAGTGGACGAACGCAGAGATCATACAAGCATACGTGCCTAGCCCGTAGTCTAGCTCTAGTTGTAGTAGTTATCTCCGTATGGTGCGGTGAGCGTGGACGGCACACATCTTACCTTTTCAGTCTAGTGGACTTTGTTGCACCTTACCTAAGTTGTTCGTATGCCGGCAGCTATGCGGTTGTCACTATGGTAGGCGCTGTATGTGACATGGGGATGGTGGACACCCTGGAGGCACGACTGGAGAGCGTGAGGGGACGCCATAAGGCGAAGGAGTTCGGCGACCTGCCTTGGGCGGTCGTCGAGGCTGGCATCCGCTCCATGTGGGCGACGGAGCATCCTCCTTCTTGGCCTGCATCTCCTCGACAAATGAACACCGAGGGCGGCGATGACGCGGGCATCAACGCCGGTGAGTACCAAATCGACAGCAGTGCGGGAGGCACGTCGTCGAGGCAGCGTGGTGTTATTTACGCTGATGAAGTTGGCGGCTTTCAGGCGCGAGGGATGCGGTCGTCGGCGGCTGCAGGCTCCTCGCAGGGTGACGTCGGAGGTCGACGAAGTGGATCTTTGTCGATGTCGGCGATCCACGTGACAGCAAGCGGGAATGCACCGAGCTACGGCTACTTCAAGTTTACGCCGGATAGGATCTTGGTCACTTTCCTACTGGTCGGTCGACCCGACATTCTCACCTGGAAGAAAGCCATCGAGCCCCAGCTGGAGATGGCCGGCCTAATCAACTTCGCTCGCAGTACCGTGGCGACGCCGGATGACTCCGACTTGCGTGCAGAGGTTCGCGCCGTGCTGCTACTGACCTTCACGGTCATCTCGCGCTGCTGCTTGCCAGGTGCACAAATCGCCCGGAAGTTGTGCAGGGAGCATCTCGACCGGCGCACGGTTGAAGTCGCACTTCATCGAGTCGACTTACCAAGTCACCGACGACTTTTTCATCTCCCAGCTTGAAGGGCAGCTGACGCACCTGCATATGGGCGACCAAGAGACAGCGACAGACTACTGCAACCGAGCTCGGCGGATTCTCGCCACCATCAGGATGGCCGGCGCGGAGTACTCGACGGCGTCGTACGTCACCCATGTCATGCAGGGACTCCCGAGCAGCTACAACCTGCTGAAGCGGCTGTCGATGGCGCCGAGCACGCGGGGCAATGCTCAACGAGGACACGTTGACCTCGTACATCCTGCAGGACGAGGCTGTGAGAGTACGACGGCTTATGCTTGTTATTCATGCTTGCTTTTATTTCCTTACGCTACTTCTAGCTTAGGATTAATTTCTGCATGCATGAATTGTTTGATTCCTAGGCTAGGTGCTTTCCTATATTTTATTATAGTTATAAGCACCGTGCTAGGTTACACCGAATTCGGAGCTATTCGGTTGCCACCGAACTGCTTTCTACCGAATTCGGGAAGGGTCTGTTCGGGACGCTTCGCGACCCACAGAACCTTCTCGTAACACCTGGTTACTGGCCCTTGTGTCGAGCCTATATATAGCCTCGTGTTGTACCCAGGTGATCATTCAATTTACATTCTCATTTCTGAACTCGATCCTCGATCCTCACACTTGGTAATCAGAGCTCGTTTACACGCGAAGTTCTTTCAACCGCTAAAAACCAGTCTTGAAAAAACCGCTGGGGCGACACAGTTAAACATCGATTTCGGGTACGTAAAACCGGTTCCGTGTTTTTCCGCTCCTCCTCGATTCGGTTTTTCGGACGCGTAATGTCAGGCATGGAAGGCCAGGGCGACAACTACGCGACGTCGCGAGCCTCCGCACCGACATGGAGCAGACGCAGGCGACGCTTCGTCGACTCGAGGCTTTTCTGACAAGCCATCCGGCGCTCGCCACGACAGCAGCAGCGACTGCAACGACTGCAGCACCGACAACTCCAGCAGCAGTGGCGACACCGACTTTTCACGGACCGATGGCACCACTGACGCCGAACCTCGAAGCAGCACGACCGAGGCTCCCGGAAGCGTTCGATCCAAGCGCGAAGGGATCCGACGTCCGGCGATTCGTGGCAACCCTCGAAATTTACTTCGAGGCCATTGGCTGTTCGACCCCGACACACGACGCAACACGAATCCGGCTCGCAGCGACACTGTTACGCGGACCAGCACTCGAGTGGATCTACAACACTGACGTGGCCCGCGGGGAGAAAACGTGGACGCAGTTTCGGGCAGAATTAATCGGGCGTTTCGAACCGATTAATACGACCTACATGGCGCGGCAACAAATTCATCGGCACAAGCAGTACAGTAGTGTAGCGCAGTACACGCAGCAGATGGAGCTCCTGTTCACCCGCATCCCCGACCTGACCGAAGGCGAAAAAATCCAGGCGTACACAGAAGGGTTAAAATTGGAGATTCGGCGGCAGGTGATCGCGGCGAATTACGACAGCTACAGGGACATCGTGCGTGCAGCCGAGCGTTACGACGCGCTGACTCGAGGTCAACCCGAAACACGACGTTTCGGGCCGAACCGTACATTCGGCACGGAGCGATCGGCACCCCCAACGTTTGCCGAACCGATGGATATCGACAAATTCGACGCGAAGCAGCAGCCGACCAAATGCGAATTTTGCGGCGCAGCAGGGCATCAGATTTTGTCGTGCTACAAAATGAAGAAAGTACGTGCGATCATGCAGGGCGGTAACAGTGCAGCACCCCCGAAGTAAAAAAACGGGAATCGCCAGTAGCCGCGGATCGAACTGGCGATCGCGTAAAGATCCGAAAAGCGAAAAAGGGCGACGACGTGGCGACTTCGGAGCGGGCGAAAAAAGGAGAAAATGATGGCGCGAATATAAAACGTCACGACCGTGCGGCATCAGGGGAAATCGCCGAGATAACTGGTGGCTCCGCGAAAAAAGACTCTGCACCGACCGGGAAACTCCAGCCGGACCCCCACAAAAGTAAGAATTCGTTAGAAGTCCCCTATAAAGATACTCTAACGAAAAATATTGCTTCTCGTGGTTTTCAAGCCTACACAGCTACAAATGCTTAGAGGAGACATCCAGGCTCAGGAGAAATTATACAAGCCTCGGAAAAATCCTCCTACCCCTCAGGTGAAGTCAGAAAGTGCTGAGTCAGGTATAGGAAATAGGGAAGGTATTCATTTTGATGTACCCTATGATCCTATTAATGAGACCCTCTTTGGCTACTCAGCGCAGCAGAAACCACTACTCCTCGAGGTGTTATGCAATGGGCGACGCCTCCAGGCACTGGTGGACAGCGGTGCATCTCACTCAGTATGTGACCGCGGAGCATTGGAGAAAATCGGAGAGAAGGCGGAGGAGACCCAGTTTTCAGCAACCATGGTGGACGGTACGAAGCTTCCCATCCACGGCGAAGCAACCTTGCAGCTGCATATAGGTGCGTTGAGATGGAAGCCGAAGCTACCTGTTACCAACATCAAAGGGTTAGATTTTATCTTGGGGCGAGATTTCCTGAAGCGGTTCAACCCCGAGATCGACTGGGTCAACAGCAAAGTGTGCATCTACAACAACGGGAAGCGGATAGCACTGCGAAGCTGGACGGATACAGGGGACATTCCTGAAACGACACTGGCACGGTTCGAACAGACGGTGAACGAGAGCAACACGGGTTACTTAGCACTGGTCATGGCAGCAGCAGAAGAGGTGAAACCGGGTTCCGAGCTACCCGCAGCAGTAAAAGAGGTCTTGGAGCAGTACAAAGACATCATGCCCGATGACCTACCTGCAGGCGTACCTCCTGCACGCACCCACGAGCACGAGATCGTGGAGGAACCAGGTGCGAAACCCGTCTCACGTGCACCTTACAGACTGAGTCCGACCGAGCTGACAGACATGAAAAAACAGATCGAGTATCTACTGGACAGACAACTGATCCGACCATCCACCTCTCCCTACGGCGCACCAGTTCTCTTCACACCGAAACCAGACGGCAGTTTACGGATGTGCATCGACTACCGCGCACTGAACAAACAGACAGTCAAAAACAAATACCCCATACCGCGCATCGACGACTTACTAGACCAACTGCGTGGTGCAACAGTCTTCTCGAAGCTGGACTTACGGTCGGGTTACTGGCAGATCAAGATGGCGGACAACTCGATCCACAAAACGGCATTCCGTACGAGATACGGCTCCTACGAATACTTAGTGATGCCGTTCGGACTCTGCAACGCACCAGCGACGTTCCAGGCGGAGATGAACCATATCCTACGGCCCCTGCTGGACGAGTGCGTAGTAGTATACCTGGACGATATCCTCATCTACTCCAAGAACATGAAGGAGCACGTGGAGCATCTGCGGAAGGTGTTCGAGATCCTGCGGAAGAATAAGTTCTACGTGAAGCTGTCGAAGAGCGACTTCGCACTGGAGAAGGTGCAGTTTCTCGGGCACATGGTGAGTGCCAAGGGCGTACACGTGGACCCGCGGAAAATTGAAGCCGTTAAAAAGTGGAAGGTTCCGGAGAACGTGAAAGAGTTGCAGCAGTTCCTCGGCTTCGCCAACTACTACAACAGGTTCGTGCCACAGTACGCTAAGATAGCAGCGCCACTGACCGACCTACTGAAAAAGGACACGCCCTTCAAATGGGGTGCTCCTCATCAGCAAGCCATGGAACAGCTACAGACAGCACTGACCACAGCGCCAGTACTCATCCTACCGGACCCCGACAAGGACTACGTAGTTGAAGCAGACGCTAGTGACCAGGCAGTCGGAGCAGTACTGATGCAGGATCACGGGAACGGTTTACAGCCTATCGCCTACCTCAGTAAGAAGCTACACGGAGCAGAACATAACTACCCCATTCACGACAAGGAAGCCTTAGCCATAGTCGTAGCCTTCAAGGCGTGGAGGTGTTACCTTGAGGGAGCCAAGACCACAGTCTATACAGACCACTGCAGTCTCAAATACCTGAAGTCGCAACCGACGCTCTCACGACGACAGGTGCGGTGGGTGGATTTCTTGGAGACTCACTTCCACTACGACATCGTCTACAAACCCGGGCTCCACAACAAGGCTGACGCGTTGAGCCGCCCAGGTCATGTAGCAGGCATCCAGCTCGACGGTATGAACCCTCTGCTGCAGGGTCTATTCCAACATGGGTACTCCGTGGACGGCGAGATAGCAACGGCAGAGAAACAGAAGTTGTTACAGTGGGAGAAAGACTTAGCGGTAAGGAAGGGTTCAGGAAAGATTTGGGTACCGAATTACGCCCCGCTACGGCAGATCCTATTGGAGGAGTTTCACGACGTACCATACGCGGGACATTTCGGGAGCAACAAAACGTTAGCGGGAATAGCGAAGTATTACTACTGGCCTCGGATGGCAGCAGACGTGCAGCAGTTCGTCACCTCCTGCGACACGTGCCAGCGGATGAAGAGTAGCAAGCAGAAAAAAGCAGGGTTACTTCAGCCTCTACCCGTACCGGAGCAGCCATGGCAGGTCGTTAGCCTCGACTTCATCACGGGACTTCCTTCGACCTCACGGGGACATGACTCTATCCTCGTAGTCATCGATAAGTTCTCAAAAATGGGTCACTTCATACCGACCAACGCCACAGCTACAGCTGAAGCAACTGCTCGACTCTTCTTCGACCGCATCATCACCATCCACGGCATCCCCACTACACTCATCTCAGACAGAGACCCAAAATTCACGAGTAAGTTCTGGAAGGAGCTTATGGGATTGTTGGGGACTAAGCTTGCGATGTCTTCAGCATACCATCCCCAGACTGACGGACAGACAGAGCGACTCAATCAGGTGGTTGAACAGTTACTGCGCACAGCTTGCAAAGACGACATCAGCCACTGGGATACACAGTTACCGACCCTAGAGTTCGCTTACAACAACGCGTCGCATGCGGCCACAGGGAAAACTCCTTTCTTCCTGTGTTACGGACGAGAACCACTCACCCCACAGCAGCCAACCACACCGGCACACGTCCAAGCCGCACACGACTTCGTCACCACCATGCAGCAGCTATGGGAGAAGACTCAGCGACGTCTCACCACGATGCAGAACTCCCAGAAGCAGTATGCCGATCGTCAGCGACGAGATCACTCAGTAGTAGTCGGAGATCAGGTGCTTCTTGACACGCGCAACTTGAACCTGTCTCACCTCCCATCCAAACTCTGGCCTCGCTTCTGTGGTCCTTTTCTCGTAGAGGCACAGGTGACACCAGTTACATTCCGCTTGCGCTTACCAGATACGTGGAAGCTTCACAACGCTTTCCATGTTCAGCTACTGAAGCCCTACAAGGACCCCAACCAACAGTTCCAGGGACACCAGCTACCGCCACCACCACCTGTTCTTGTGCAGGATGAACCCGAGTACGAGATCGAGCGCGTTCTCACTCATCGGCGCCGCGGCGGCAAGACCCTTGAGTTCCTGATACGCTGGAAGGGATACGACCCCACTGAGGACAGTTGGGTTGCAGAAGCTGATATGGGCAACGCACGCCGTGCTCTCAAGGATTATCTTGTCAAGCAGGGTGTATCTCACGCCACCCAGCTTTGAGGGGGGGACGTGTGAGAGTACGACGGCTTATGCTTGTTATTCATGCTTGCTTTTATTTCCTTACGCTACTTCTAGCTTAGGATTAATTTCTGCATGCATGAATTGTTTGATTCCTAGGCTAGGTGCTTTCCTATATTTTATTATAGTTATAAGCACCGTGCTAGGTTACACCGAATTCGGAGCTATTCGGTTGCCACCGAACTGCTTTCTACCGAATTTGGGAAGGGTCTGTTCGGGACGCTTCGCGACCCACAGAACCTTCTCGTAACACCTGGTTACTGGCCCTTGTGTCGAGCCTATATATAGCCTCGTGTTGTACCCAGGTGATCATTCAATTTACATTCTCATTTCTGAACTCGATCCTCGATCCTCACAGAGGCGATGCAGGTGAACTATGCGGAGATAACTCTAGCAACGGGAGCTTGACTACGGGGAAGGCACGTTGTGTGAGAGGGATCTCTGCGTTCGTTCACTTAGTCGTTTGCTGGTGTGTTCTCTGCTTGCACATTCACGGGGAGATATTGCAAGAGTTTCACTAGCAACAACAATACAGAATGATAGCAACAACGTTGGCAACACAGACTACATCAGAGCTAGCTAGGCTGCTGGTCGACCTCCAGCGCAGCACGGTCGACCGCGTTCCAGCGCAGCAATGCTCGCACCGCTCCAGCGCTGCAGAGATGCGGCGCGCCAACGTTGCACGTCCACGGTGTGCCAGCGCTACAGCAAGTCGGCTGCACAATGATGCACCCGCAGGACAATGGTGCACCTGCTTCGCAGGTGTGCGCGGCTGGTTGGCGTCCGATTCCCCGTCACGTGCCCAGCGCAGACGCTCTCGCCCGTGACGGCGCCCATCAGCCACGTCGACCTCGGAATATCACCCCCGAGGTCATCCTCGCAGAACCGTCCCCCGGCGACCTTCGCACACGTCGCCCGGGTATCCCGGTCGACCGGGCAACCCCCCCCGCCAATAGCGCTACCGATAAATCTCTTTCTTAAGATTAAGTTTCGTTAGGAAGGAGAGAACGGGCGTCCCCAGGTCGGCGTCCTGGCGTCCTGGTCGGCGTCCACTCGCCCAGGACGCTGTCTAGGCGCCCTAATCGGCGTCCAGGCACCCGGGACGCCGAGCAGACCATCAGGTCGGCGTCCAGCCTCCCAGGACGCCGGGTAGACGCCCAGGACGGCGTCCAGGCGCCCAGGACGCCGAGCAGACGCCCAGGTCGGCGTCCCACCTCCCAGGACGCCGAGCAGACGCCTAGCACGGCGTCCAGACATCCAGGACGCTGAGTAGACGCCCTGGTCGGCGTCCACCTGCTCGGCGCCCTCCAGCCAGACGCCCCCAAGCTCCGCGCCCTTGCAGTGGCCCCCGTGCCCACTGCTGCAGGTCGGCTGTGTTCCCTCGCACACCCGACCACGAGGTCGGCTCCGCCCAAGCGAGGACGGGGCCAAACACAACTCCCGTTGACACTCCCCTGCCGCGTTCACGCTTGGGCCCCCCAGCCCACACGGCAGCACTGCTCGGAAGACAGCTCGGCGGCGTGCACACAACACACAGCACGCCGGTCACCGCACCAGCCATGCAAGTGGGTATGGCACCTACTGCTGCACGTCGTTGTCACCGTCGCCGACTTCAGCCAGGCGCACCTGGCCGACTGCGACGGAGCACCGGTTGAAGTCGGCTGGCTGCTCAGCGGTCGGGATGTACTGCAGCGCAAACTTCCCCCGCTTCACCATGTGCTGCAGCCAGGCCTGTCGCCGCTCCATGTGCTTGAGGTTGCCCGTCAACCCCATGCCCCCGGCGACTTGTTGTCCACTCGCAGGACAGTCGGCTTCCCGGCGTCCAGCTGCCGGAACTCTGCAAGGAGGAAACGAAGTCGGCGTCCCTCCTTGCCGGCTTCGGTGGCCGCCACGTACTCCGACTCGGTCGACGACAGCGTCGCGCACTTGATGCGCTGGCTCGACCAGGAGACTGCGGCCCCTCCGTAGACGAACACGTAGCCGCCCGTGCTCGTCCTGTTCTGCTTGTCGCCGGCATCGTCGGCGTCCACGTAGCCGACCAGCTCCAGTGACTCTTGCCCACCGCCGAACTCCAGGGCGGTGTCACGCGTGTTGGCGAGGTAGGCGAGGCAGCGGTCGACTTCGCGCCAGTGCTGGTCGCTCCTCACCATGAGGCCGCTCCCCAGCTTGCTGCAGGCGAAGGCGATGTCCGGCCTTGTCGTCGTCGCCGCGAACTGCAGCGAGCCGACCTTCTGCCGGTACTCCTCCTCCTGGCGCTCCTGCGCCTCCTCGTCGTCGAAGGTGAGCTCGGCGTAGGCATCGACCGAGACCGGCGTCTTCGGAGTCCGTCCGCCCTGCTCCTCGTCGATGAAGCGCCTACGCAGCTTGTCGGCGTAGCCCTGCTGGTGCAGCCACAGCTTCCCTGCCGACCTGTCGCGCACGATCTCCAACCCGAGGTACTTCTGCACCGGTGAGATCTCGCGCAGCTCGAAGGCGGCTTCCAGCAGCTCCTTCAGCTCCTTCAGCATCGCGGCGCTGCTGCTGGCGGCCAGCAGGTCGTCGACGTAGACCAGCACCCAGCAGGCCACTCCGTCGTCGCCGACCTTGAAGTACAGAGCCTCGTCGACCTGGCTCTTCTTCCACCCGGCGCCGACCAGCACGTCGTTGAGCGCCAAGTACCACAGCAGTGGCGACTGCTTCAGCCCGTACAGGCTCTTCAGCAGCTTGCACACCCGGCCGTTCCGTCGTTGAAGTAGTCCTGGACAGCGACGATGCTGAGGAAGATCCTCAGCGTGACGTAGCTGCCCACCGGCGCGAACGTCTCGTCGTAGTCGGCGCCGTACACCTGCGTGAAGCCCTTCACGACCAGCCGTGCCTTCTCACGCTCGACGGTGTCGTCGATGTTGTACTTCGTCGTCAGCACCCAATGGTTCTTCATCACGTTCACTCCCGGCGGGCGTTCGACCAGCTAACACGTGCCCATGCTGAGAAGACTGCGGATCTCCTCCTCCATGGCGGCCTTCACCGCCGGGCCCTTCCAGCTCGCCAGCGCCTCCTTCACCGTCATCGTCGCGATGTCCCAGCGGTGCTCGGGGTCGGCGTGCATGTCGGGGTCGAGCTCCGGAAACTCCTCATCCTCGTCGGCGTCGTCGTACAGCAGGTCGTCGTCGTCCTCCACGTCGTACACCGTGGTGAAGGCAGCCGGTGGGAGGCAGACATGGTAGGTTAGCCGCTCTGGCGGCCTCCGGACTTGTCCGGAACGCCGCAGTGCAGGCTGCTCGGGGTCAACCTCCATGTCGTCCTGCTCGGCGTCCGACTGCTCCCCTGCAGCTGCGCCAGCGTCACTGTCCTCGGCGTCCTGCTTCACCTTGGTAGGCTCACCCTGCTGCACCTCGGTCGTCGTCCCGACAGAGGTCTCCTCCGCGGACAGCCCCCCTGCCGACTGCCAGGTCGCCGACTGCTCCTTGGTCGGCCGCGTTGCTGCCTGCTCCCCTATCGGCTGCTCCCGCTCAGCCTGTTGCTTCCCCGGCGTCCCGTCTGCCGACTTCGCTTCCAGACCGACTTGCTGGACATCACGTTGGCAACCGGCGATGCTCTTTATCGGCGCCACAGGCGACGCCCCACTGCTCCCCTCATCGCCGGAGGCCGACATCAGGGTTAGCCCACGCAGGTCGGTGATGAGGAGAGGTGCAGGAGAAGGGGAGGAAGGGTGGACGACCTCGGCGTCGTCCTCAGCAAGCTCACCGACCTCGGCGAGCAGAGGGAGCGTTGCCGTCGAGGTATCTGTCGCCGTGGCCACCAGCGTCCGCCCCGACACCGGCCCATGCTCCGACTTCCACACCTCGAGCGACATGGTCTCGTAGAACACTACGTCCGACGTGGTGACCACCGGGTTATTGGCAATGTCGAGGAGCTCCCAGCCCTTGCTCTCCTCCGACACGGCGAGGTGAAGGCCCCACTGGCCTTCGGCTTCAGTTTGCCACCGCGCTGCTGCTCGGGGACAAGGAACTGCGCCATGCAGCCCCACACGCGCGCCAGCGACAAGTCCGGCTTCGTCCCGGTGAGCAGCTGGTACGGCGTCGTCCCCGGCGTGGCCGACCGCTCCAGGCAGTTGCGGACCCAGACGGCCTGCCGCAGAGCGAGGTGCCACCAGTGGTGCTGCACGCCCATATGCAGCAGCATCGTCCGCACCGACTCCACCACCGTCCGCATCTCCCGCTCCGCCATGCCGTTCTGCTGCGGGGTGTAAGGGCAGGTCAGGTCGTGGACGATCCCCTTTCCGTCCACGAAGGCAGTGAACTCCCGGCCGAGGAACTCCCCTCCTCGGTCAGAGCGCAGCTGCAACACCGACTTCTTCGTCTGCCACTCCACCAGCACCAGCCACTTTTGGAACTCTAGCAGCACATCCGACTTCCTGGCGACCGGCTTCACCCACACGTAGCGGGTCTTGCGGTCCTTCAGCAGCAGGAAGTACAGGCTGCCATCCTTGGCAGCCACACGAAATGGCCCACATAGGTCGACGTGCACGACGGCCAGTGCGTCCTTGGCGTCGGATCCGCTGTCAGGGAAGGTGTGCCGCGCCAGCTTCCCACCGACGCACGAAACGCAAGGCGAGGCAGCGCCGGACGCGGACTTGAGGTCCAGCCCGGTAGCCACCTCGTGCTTCGCCGAGCTCAGAATGGTATCCAAGCCGACATGCGCGAGCCTCGCGTGCAGTCTGTCCGGCGTTGCCTTCGTCGTCGCCGACACGATGGCCCGCAGGGCTACCTCCTCCGCTGCAGATGGCGCCGAGCAGGGACGCAGGTCGGTGCTGACGACCCGGCCGGAGTACGTTGCTCGACCGAGCACGTCGCCCGTCGCCGAGACGAGCAACAGGCCGTCACCGTCCTCCTTCAGCTTCACGCCGTTCTCCTTCAGTTGACCGGACGACAGCAGATTCGGGTGCACACCCGGGACATACAGCACGTCGGGGATGAGCACCCGCTTCCCGGCCTCCCCTTGCA